GCCCCTCCTTTGACTTTTTAAGTGTTGTTTAGCCCTCTATGTCTGCAGTGGTGACTACATCACATACTAGTGGGAAGGAGCATTTGATAGACTAAAATACCAGCATTACCTTGAATGAATTTCTTAGGCCGCTGCAGAGAAACAAAACTTTACATGAGATAATACGTCTGAATGTGCGGTGAGATCCGTTTAAGGATATTACTGCATACACTTATCATATGAAAGTCATACCAAGGACAAATTCATTTCACACGCTGACCTCAGAACTGCACGCAGCTCTGCCTTTTTATCACATAATACGTAAGAGGAATGTTTGAAAAAACCAATGCTGTGTTTGTTTATTGTACCATCTAATGCTTTGTGCCTTAGAATTCCCATCTGCCTTAGATTTGGGCATCAATGAGTAACCAACTTTTCCATCCCCATAAAGGTCTTTCTTCAGGTTAGCTCAAAGGATGGCTATTGTTGGTACCCAGATGTTAATCAATTGAGCATATGCTCATGGTTGTTTTGAAGAATGCTTTTTAATATCACCTTCTTGTGGTTTCAAAATTATTTGTGTTTTGAGCTACCCAAATATAATTACATTCTTGAGCACATTAAACATCATAAAACTTTTCTTATGCACTAGAGAATCTTAAGCTATAAATCACCACACTAGTGAATAATTCATAGCTACTTTCGTATGTATTTATTTTAAAGCAGGCCATTATCTCCCATTCTTTATTGTGTAGTTGTTTCTATATCTGGAGTCATGTCTCAGACCTCTGAATTATCCAGTCACTATCAACACAGACTAAGAATGACTATGTGCCAGGACTTTGGCAAAGATACCGAGAAAAAGAAGGGATGGGCAGATTGAACCAGTTGCAGACATATTCATTCCATTGGCTGAGAAATGTGCTCATCTGGAAAAGGGAGTCTGCTGCTATGAGGCAGGTCCTTAGCCTGGATTCTGGACAGCAGCACTGATTTAAGAGGTGGAATGAATGGTTGGTTGAAAAGACTGAAAAAGTTTGCCAGTGTCAACTCTGTAGCGAGGTGGAAATGGCTGGTGAAGAGATTTGCTGCAAGCGTTCCCACGCACTCACAAAAGTGAGGAAGTTGCCCTGAGCCATAAGAGAGGCCAGCATCTGGGGAAAGTCATGTCAAAGCTTTTTGACACAATTGGTGAAAGGGAGGGTTTTTTTGTTTTTGTTTTTGTTTTCTTCCTTAAAAACAATTAACAGGCCCTTAATAAATATCTGCTCTGTGCCTCATGCTCTGAAAGACACCTAGAGTGATACAGAAAGAGGGGGGGCTACAACTCAGCCTTGCACACGTGTCCATCCTACTTTGGGCTAGCATTTATGAGAAACAATTAGAGAATCACAGAAGAGAAAATATATTCAAGTAGTAAAATTGGGAAATAAAAATTATTCACTTTCTACTTTTTCAATTTAAACCAGGTCCTACCCTGGGCCTCTTCCAATGAGGATCTCCTCCCCAATAAATACCATAAGGAATGCAGATGAATAGAGTTTTAAATACTTAAAAGTGGCACAAAACTTAGTTAAGACCAGCATCTGGATTGCCAGGGAGGGTTCCCTTGATCCAGTGATAGTGACAAGTAGAGCCCAGAATGTGTGTGTAGACATTTTACAAAGTCTACATTGGATGCCTAGATGGTACGCACATTCTCCCTAGTTATTATTGGTGATTTCCTAGTTATTATTGGTGTGTGTTCTGGGCAGTTGGGGAAGTTGAAACTAGCTACATTTCTATATTTGTCATAACTCTGCTCAGTAATTAAGCACAATAACAAAGAGTATCCAATTTTTATTGAGAAAGAAGCCGTTACCGATGCATTCCTACCGGCCAGAAGCTCTCAGAGAACAGGCCCCCCCAACCCCCCGCTCCCAGTATCTTGTCTGGTTCTCAGACATCAAGAGCGCTGTACCTTATCTCAAGTCTTGTAAAGTGAAATGGAATGCCGAAAACTGTAAAATATTAAACAGATTGCAAGAATGAGTAACAGGCTGAAAAATAATAGACCAAACTAATTTAAAGAACTTCAAAAGCAGTCTTTGATTAATGTTGCCTACCTTTCAACTGCCAACTCAAAGATACAAGAATACCTGCCAGGGGTGGAATGCAACCCCCCGGGGGCTCAGGGAAAATGACCCCAGGATATCTAAGACAGCTCCTCTCAAACACCTGCACAGGAGAGGAGGAATCCCAAGTTGAGGGAAATGGAGTCACTCAAAACAATTAGGAAAAAAAAGAACAATATTGTACTAAAAGAGAATCTTGAGACTCCCTTTTAGGGAAAAATTATAATACCAGCTTAGCAAATACTAAGAATGTAAAAGAGTTCATGACAAGCGAGTTCTCTAGCACAATGAAAACAAAAGGAGAAACAGTTGAAGCAGAATCTCTATCATCAACGTTCTCAATTCCAGGGTCATGAATAAATAACCAGTGAGAGAATTCAAGCACTTTTCAGAAAAAGGATGTTTATGTAGATAGCAATGTATAAAATGCTAGGGCTGCCAACTCTCCTCGGCAGATACAGATCAAATACTAAAACAAAGCAGTCCCCAATGCATTCTGCCAAATCCAAGTATATTTAGCTCCTGAAAGAGAGGCAAACCATGCTCGTGGCCTTCTTACCACGGATTGGAGTTTTCTGCAAAGGCATTAGTGGATTCCCTAGCCAGAGCCCTGCGAATACATTGCAGAGGTGTGAGATCATAACCCTTGGATCTTGTTGCAGCACCTACAGCTGGACCGACCACTCCCAACGGGAACCTGGTGGACGAATGTGATGACGACCAGGCCAACTGCCACAGTGGAACAGGTGATGACTTCCAGCTCACAGGTGCAGAAACCATCTTCATCCCATTGCTGTGCCATTTCAGTCACGTTGCGGTTGAGACCGGCTAGTTCATGTCTCTGTGTGTTTGCGTAACTCCTCCCGGCCGTGGCCATGGTCGGGGTGGTGGCTGGCATCTTCCTTCCCTCCTGCTATCCTGCCACCACCATTCAAAACAATAATTTGAGCCATTTTCAGAGCCAGAGGCTAGGATGGTCTTCATCGAGTAAGAATTTCTCCACCATGGCTAAATGCGCTCAACTCATCCTCATCTTCAAACCCCTGCCCCAGAACACACGCACGACCCATACATAACCACACACTTTAGATTGTTTATTTTCATTTTCTAACAAGGGTAAAATGTCTTGAGAGGAACCTTTACCCAACGAATTGATGAAACTGGGCTTATATTTGAAATGCTGCTTTTAAGTGAGGATTTTGTAAATCCTGTTACATTAAAATTTACAAAGGCAGAATTAGTTGCTATTTCACATCAGAAATAACTAGCAAATGTATCAGGGATGGTGGGTGCCAAATACCTCACTAATTCATTTAGAGTATTACTCCATAACATTCTAAAACCCTAAGAGCTAGAGAGTGACCTTCTCTTCTCCTTGGAATGGCAGAGGAAATATTAGACAAGGGGGGAAATAGGATTGTACCACTTGGAAATGGGCCAAGGCAGTAGGATTTTCACCCTATTGTGGCCAAAGGCGCTGTGGGACCTTTACTGCCACCTGAGTCAAAATGCGGTTCCATCTAGCACCTGACTCTCATTTTAGATTAAACATGAGCCCTTGGCTGCAGGTCTGTATTTTTACCCAGAAGGGACTCAGAGAGCCCACATAATTAATTTCCATGGGCGAAACTAAAGGTGTTACCATGTAACTTTGTAACCTCGCCATGTTATTGGCTAATGCATTAATGTAAAATCTGCAAGGAAACGTCCCACAGTACATTTCCAATTACTTCAAAAGCTCTCCTCTGAAGGAGTGAGAGAGCTTGGCACTCAGATAGAATAAGGGGTCAAATCTAGCTCAGAAATTTAGTACCATGAACCAGGTTCCCATTTAAATCCCAGCTCCTAAGGCTGCCTCCCTCTAAATTTCCAGGATAATCGCCTACAGTCATAGGTCCAGTAAATGTTACCATGGGCTTTTGAAAACGAATCTTGTATGTAAGTAGCCACAAGCCACAAAAATTAATTAATGCAGAGGCATTTTCTTTGTGAGATGTCAAGTTCAAGCTGAAAACCCTACAGCTAGAGTTAAGAACAGAGTACCATTTTGTGAACCAGGTCCTGTGGAACCTTCCCAGGATTGCTTGTAAACACCCTGCCACAGACCTCAGGCCTTCTGTGGACCCTGTCACACATCCGTAGTGAAATTCCTCATAAAAAGGAACGACTATAGTCATCACAGTATACCCTTTCAATTGCCCTCTTGTGGAGAGGTTCTTTTCTTTATAAACCCTAAAGTGGTCAGTTAATATTGATTAGAAACAAAGCCTCAGATTTACTCCTCATATCAGAACAACCAACCTTCTCATTTTTGCATCAGTTCATGACTGAATCAATTGAAACTAAAGCCTTTGAATGAAACAGGGCAAGTATGTTAGCCTGGAGCAAATTATGTATGGCAACGAGTAACACACCACAGAAAATGGGTCATTTATGGTGGAAACACTGACAGTCCTCTAAAAGTACAAGGTTATAGTTTATCTATAGCATTTAAAATCATTTACTGGTTAGATAGAAAAAAGTTCTAATTATTTTTTTATGTATTACCATGGCAAAAAAAAAACAAAAAAACAAAACCATGCCCATTTGTCTATTTCTATAAATACATACATATATGAAGAATTTCCAGAGGTTGTGTTAATGCCCGCTCCACGCCCCCATTAAGAAGAGGTGATTTCAGAAGGAATCTCATGTTTCAACTTCATTTGCTGCATTAACAGCCAACTTGGGTTTTGTCTTTGTCTTTGTTTTTGTTTTGTTTTGTTTTTTTACTTATTTTGTTTTATGGAGCTATGGGTTATCCTCTGAGAAAGGGTGTGCTCATATGTAATCGTTTTTGTGAGGAGCAAAAGCCTCCGGTCACCCAGATATCCTCTCGCATGGGAGCAGCTCACGTCCTAGGCTCACACACAGCTCTGCAGCCTTCTTGCTCCTTCCGTCCCAGGCTCCACCGTCAGAGCCTCAGACTTGGCACGTTGAGTGTAATGGAGCCAAAGTAAAAACATCTTCACTTTAACCCTGAGAGGAGGGAAGGTGGAGAGGAGGATGAATGCCCTCTCGCGAGGTGGTGTTTGGTTCCTTCACGCAGATGGTGTCACTTTAATCTCTCCTCCTGGGGTGACCGCTTTGAATATAGTGGGAAATAAGTATTGTAGCAAAATGCTCATTACTTACAAACAACACTGAATTCCAGGTGAACTGTACCGAATGCATGGAAATGAGGAGAGATTTCACTCTCCGGTACTTGCTTGCCAAGGTGAAAATTCATCCCTGAAGTTACTCATTTGCAAATGCCTTTGAAGTCATTAGATAATACAATTGGTTTCAAAGGCACCAGGAGGCCAAATTTCACATTGGATCTGTGCATACCCAACAGTGGAATTTGGCTCCCAACCTATAACAAAACTGATAATGCATATCGGTTTTAAAAAGTGAATTTTCACCTTGAGTCTTTCTCCCATAAGACCACTAGGAACAGAACGCTAATGTATTCTGGCCTCCCTCCAATTCTGCCATTATAGATTCACCTTCTTAACCCATAATATATATAATTCCTTCTTCCTAGCACCTGCCTCATTCAGGCCACACACACGTGTGACCACTCATCCAGCATATTTACTGGGAAAGCAAGGGTAACATGACTTGGTGCTGCAGTCGATTAGCTCCAAAATCTTCCTACCATCCCAAGAGCACGATTTTACAGCTCTCTGATTCACAATCTGGATGATTTCTGATCTGTGGAAGCCACAGGGTAAAACAAAGACCCGGCCAGAATAGAGATGATCACAGAGCTTGACTGAACGGTACTATTGGGAGGTGTACGATGGCACCTGAGAACGACCTCGACAGCGTTCTGTGATACTCAGGAGCCCACCGCATGCCCTGCCCCCGAGTCTACCCAGGGCTTTATCTCTTAGGGCAACAAATAGATGATCTCGGACCATAGCAGGTACACGCTAGGAGAAATGGCTTTCTCAAACACCTAAGTAATAAACAGCACACCAGCGTCTCCCACACTTAATGGGTTCTAAGACTCACCTGAGAAACTTTCAAAAATTCAGATTTCAAGGCCTTACCTCGGATTCTGGTTCAGTGAGGTCTGAGGAGGATTAGTGGATTGGCAACCACAGCTTCAACAGGCCCTCAGGTGATTCTTATGGTTGGCAAGTTCAAGAACACTACTTTAAAACAGAGGTTTAGGGGCACAGGAGTGGCTCAGTCAGTTAGGTGTCTGCCTTCGGCTCAGGTCATGATCCCAAGGTCCTGGGATCGAGCCCCGCATCGGGCTCCCTGCTCGGTGGGGAGCCTGCTTCTCCCTCTCCCTCTGCCGCTCCCCCTGCTTGTGCTCTCTCCCTCTGTCAAATAAATAAATAAAATCTAAAAAAAACAAAAACACAGAGGTTTAATGAAGAGGAGCAGAAAATGGAAGTGCCAAGATGCAGAACAAAAGAGGGTGAAGCTAAATTGTCACGTGGTTCCCTCACCAGGAATCCCAGAGTCAACCCCAACTGATTGGAAGCGGACAATGTTCAGGAGGTTATTTGTGCCATCTTCCAGTGCTCTGGGCCTGTGAGGCAGGGTTTCTGCTCTTGCCTTTTTGTGCAGCTTGTCCAAATCACATGCTGGGCAGAATATTTGTCCTTGGGAAAAGCAAACAACTCCAAGCAGCTAAAGAAAGGAGGAACTGCTACCACCCACTTAAACCTTCAGTTTTTAAAATAGATTGTGGGGAGCAGCCCTGCGTGTGCATCTGAGACCTTGGGAAACTATTTGAAGCTCAGAGGCCCGGGTCTAGTTTAATTCCCAAGTCACTGAGGATGTGTGGAGGCTTTTGCTTTTCATGGGTACAGTTGTGTAGCACGCTTAACCTGGGAATCAGGGAATGCCCTTGGAAGGAAGCCTGAGACTCTCCATACCGCCTGGATGCTTTTAGGAATACATGTGTTGAGTAAAACATCGTGGTTTATTTGCGCTTGATCTTGTGGTGGGCAAAATCTAAGTAAAACGATTACCACAGGCGGAATTAAAGGAAGGAGTTTCTACGGAGAAGTTTGCCTCCAACAGATGTACGTCAGCATAGAGCATTTCTTTACTGTGTATTATCCACAATGCTTCCTTTTTCTGATTTTCGTATGTTACTGTTTTGTTTGTTTGTTTTTCAGGCGGTACCACTGTGCTGGCCACAGAAAAGCCAACCATAATAGACAGCACCATACAATCAGGTATCAAAAAAAAACCCAACAACAACAAAAAAACAGAATATGGGGTAGATTTCACGTGCGCCTCTCCGCCCCCCACCCCCAAGTAGTGCATTGCCGCGCTTCTCAATTTCAGTTTCTCTCAAAGTCCTAGAAGAGAGATGCCACGCAGCATCTGGTCTCCAAGCATGAGCCATAAATATTGCTTTCCTTTCATCCACATGTATATGCAGCAGGGAGTGAGGTTTCCTTCTCCATCAGTAATTGCCAAATGGTGACAATCCCAGCTCTCGGAGGAAGGAACTGGGTAACATACTTTGTTTAACGCAGCACATCTAGGACATGGACTGTGTTTGCAAACTCCGAGAGAAGGAAAGCTCACAGGCAGCAGCCTGACTATTTATTTTCATCACAATTCTGCAAAACCGAGACAGGCAAAGTTTGTCAGTTTTGCCTGCCACGGAGTTGGCAGTTTGACAACAGCATTTCCAGTGGGCGTGCCACGAAATGGGGTGCGGAAGCCACGGCTGCGATTGTGCGCGGGGAGAGCGGCGCCCTGGGGAGCAGCACCTCCGCATCCTTTTGTTAATAGAAAAGCCTAATGACTTTTCAAACCCGTGGCTTGCTGTTTACCAGGGGCTGGCCGCAGCTAAAAGGCAGCCTCCCCCGCCTTTTGTATTTTGTTGGTATTCGGTAAAATTCTTCCCCACAGACACACACGAAGGGAAATCGTCAGTGCAAGCAATCAGAGGTTTTAAATACTTTAAAGTTAATCATTAGAGTAAGGTGAACAGGTCAGTTTTCCAGCTTCTCCCATTTCCTTTATCGAAGCTCACTGAGCCTTGGCCTCCACAGTCATTTATTAATGGGGTGTGTGGTGTATATCAGTGTTTCCTCAACAGTATGACACCACCCAGCGAGGCAGAAAGTAGAAAGGGCTACTCTAATTAGTATGCTTCCTTAAAGGATGCTGTCACCGTTGACCTGATTAAACTGCAAAACAAACTTCTCTATGGTTGAACTTAACCCTGAGTTTCCCTGTGGTGGGCTCAGGTTGACAGAATTCCTGTGACCCCACGGTTCAAACACCCCCAGCTACCAAAAGGTGAAACAAAGGACTATCTGTTCCCCTTAATTCAGAAAACACTGTAGTCCAAAGGACACTCTTTCTGAGGTCTAAGATATGGGCTTCAGGGTTGCACCGTCACCCTGCATGGACCCTCAGGAGTCCGGCCTCTCGCTCACTTCCTGCCTTCCCTGAGGGTCCTGGGCCTTCTCGGGTGGTTCTCTGTGGAGTACCCACTGGCTGGCTGTCTGGGACCCTCTGTCATAAGGAAGAGGGCTGAGGTGACAAACTGAAGTTCTAGTAACCTAAAAACGTGTTAAATGCCCTGTTAGTTTTTTCTCTTGCCAGAGAGTTAATTAAAACCCCTCTAAAGCTGCCAGCGAACTTGTCTTATCTCTTCTCTCTTCTTGCCTATCAAAAGAGCTAGGGATCATTGAAAAACTAAAAGTTGAGCAACAGCTCTGGAGACAAGAGAAAGGTACACACCAGATTCCAAAGTGGAATAATTCCCCCTGGACGTTGAAAGTCAGCAATGACTTTGTGAACACATGTGGTTTGTGTGTGAGTTCAAGGACCAGCCATCCTGTGGGGTGTACTGTGGTCAGAGCGCAGACGGACAAATCCCAAATCAGGAAGACCCATGGCCACCACCATCTGAATCAGTTCATGTCAAACCGCAGAGCTTACTGATAGAAGGGGTCTGCTCTGGTTTTGAGTTCCACGGTCAGCCCAGAGTCCTTTCCAAATCACCCTGGTTTCTCATTTTTTCATTGCCTGAGTCATGAACCTGTCTCCCAGTCTTTGTAGATAATGGACCGTCTGACCTTCTTTGAGGAGCTCTGTTCATTGTCACCATCTGGCTAAGCCAGTGTTCAGAGCAGTTCTCGAGGCCCTGCGTATCAAGTCTGAGGTTAAGCCTAACTTTGAGCTGTTCACCCAGGGTGGGACCCACCTCTCTGATAGTTTGATCCACTCTCTTCTGCGGGTTTCAGATTCTCCAGGCATATTTACAAGCAGCAAATTGGACCCCTAAACTTTCATCTAATCTGATTTTGCTGAAGCCATTATAGACTCAAGTAAAGTCTTAAGATTTCATTTTTCAGGATTCTTATCAATATCATAAACTCAGTGGGCCTATAATACTCAGATACTGTCTGGGTTGTGATCAAATGCATCAAAGCCTATTAATGCTCTGCCAGAAAATGAGGAGAAACCCTGCATTTTCCAGCCAGCTCGCCCCACTGAAAGGTCTCACGCTCTGAGGATCTTCAAACACTCCTAGAACAGCTCAGGGTCGATTCGTAACCTATGATTGCATGGGCCTAAGCATCTCCACTTATTTGGACTGAAAGACCCGTCCGAGAGTAAGCTAGTTAACATCCTCAAAAGAAGTTTTGAATACCGGGTTCCAAAATTAAATCCTTGTGCATATATGGTGCTAATGATTCAAATGCGGGCAGGATAGTTTCCACAAGCGCAGCTGGGGCCGGCGCACAGCGGCTATAAATTTGTTTTAAGTTCAGAATATTGTTTCCTGCTATTTTTAAGAGTCAAGAAGGGATTTAGCCAGATTATTCCCAATGAATTTAATAAGAATTGTGCAGCCACAGGGCCTGGGTAATATTTTGAAGACTGAAAGGTCACTAGTCCTCTATACTTACTTCATTCCTCGGTTTGCGTTTTTTCTCTTTCTTTCTCTCTCTCTCCTCTTTTCTCTTCTGCTTCTCTCCTTCTTTCTTCCTCTCTGTCTCTCTTTCTTTCTTTCTCCTCCCTATAAATGTTTGTGTGTGTTTTACGTGTCTCATAGCCTTTCTGGCCAGCCCTGAACTGTCAACATCTTCTCACCCCACACTCCTCCCCCACCATATGCATGGGTTAAAAAAAAAGAATAGTTCTTTTAAATTAACAAGATTGCCGTAGATTATATGATCGGGACAAGAAGATGAAAGGGTAGTAAAATACAAAAGGTTAGAGCAGATCCCCTTGTTACAGTCATAGGATCGGAGAACACATGAGAAGATCAACGTGGACCGTCACTCAGGACAGCTGCAGAAATGCTTGAGCCCTCCTCTCAAACAAGGCTGTCCTATGTCCTGGTCATTAGCAACACATCCAAACTCATAGATTTTATGATATCACCAGAATATTAAGAGCCAAAATAATGCATGGTGTGGTTTCTATACTGTACGATAAATTTAATGTATTAGCCAGAAATACAACCAGAAATGTGTGTGCTGTAATGGCTGGCTGCCCTCCTGCATGTGCACGTCTTATAAACTACATTTTAAGGAGGAAACCCAAAACCACACACGTATTAACATTTTCCAATATTAACACTTTCTAACAGGAGATTATGCAACAGTACATTCTAGGTTCATGGGTGCTGACATCCAAGGTTGCTCAACCATTCAGGCACTGTTCAATTGACTATAGTTCATCTGCATAATTCAATCTTGCTGCTCAAAAGTGTGGTAAATTTTGGAGAGGGTTTCTCATGCTTTAAGAAGCCCTATTTCATGGTTATGATAGACGAGACATGAAATATATCTCTCCGGTGACACCATAGCTGTGAAATACAGCCCTTCTGCACTCACCGAAAGTACTCACCTTAGACACGTCATGTGGCTCACTAGAGTGACTTTCCCAAACTAGCTCTGCGCACCTTTGGGAGGTCTTATTGTCACCAGAAGGGGGAGTCCATCCTGCTCCATTTTGACAATGCATATGGTGCATTCCTTCCAAAATTCTACATTAGCGTTTGCAAAGGGTTCCTTGGAAGCGAAACATGCAAAGTAAATCATCCTTATCTATTCAATGAATCTTCCCATAAAAATCCCTACTGCCATTGTTAAAGTGGGGGAGGGGGCCATGGCGACCGGACTCCCAGAAGAACGCAAGCAAGCCCTGTCGTGTTAAACACGGACAAAGTTAAAGAAAAGATCAAAACAAGATCTGATCTCAGCCTGACCCTAATACAGCGTACGACACTATACTTCCCTTATTGTACATACGAATGGTTTTGAGACATGTTCAAGATTAACTGGCAAGGTGCCCTAGGCACCTTTCTCTCCGTTTCAATGCTGCCATCTTGTGGACTACCTAAACTCAATGAGAAGCAGTGACCTCCCTTCATTAGAGAAAACAGCTGCTTTGTGTGTTTAATTTTATATAGGGGGAGGAGTAGGACTGACTGAAGCATGAGAATTTTATCTTTAAGATTATTTTAATTATTAGCTTCAGATTACCGAAAACAAATTCCAAGCCACAATGATTTCATTTCTTTCATACTTAAAAAGTTAAGCTACTTCTAAAAAAAAAGGGGGGGAGTGAAAAATAAAGCTATAGAGGCTTAAAAACACGACAGTCAAATAGCACCTTGTAGAACACACAAGACAGATCATTCCTGAGAATCCATTCATATTTTCTTTTCAAATTCAAAGGAAACATTTTTTTGAACATTAAAAGAAACTTTTAAGTGGACAGCTCTTTAAAAATGCTTTGGCTCTACGTGAACTTGCATGGAGGTTTTAATTTACATGCAAATTTTAAAATTCACTAAAAAAGCAGAAACTTACACTTGAAATTAATTGACCTGATACGAAGCACAGGAGACTAAATAACCTTAAGAAACGCTTCAGAGATTTGACGTACAGACCTGAAGTGTTACCCAGTGTGGTAAGAATACAGATAGCCTCCAGAATGAGACATCCAGCCAAGTCACATTTCTTCACTTTTGAGGTTCACGGGTCAATCTGTACTTAAGATTCTTCTCATTGGTGGATAACAATGTATATGATTCATTCTCAAGAACAGAGTATCTTTCATATTAAATATCATGGGCATAGGGAGAATGTTATAGATGTAATACATCTGCCTTGGAAAGTAACCTTCCTGGAAATTTTATGTAAAACCAATTTGACAGGCAGTCCATAATCTTTTTAAAGCTGGATAAAAAAAAAAAAAAATCCAAAACGTGATTTTGCAAACATTTTGACATCTCCATGCAGTCTTTTGAGTTTCCTGGTAATCCTGGGTTTTGAGGCTTTCCCAGAATTTTCAAACAGACGTTAAGTTATATAAGTCGTGCCTTTCGTGAGCAAATTAAGGGCCTTTCTGACCTAAATGATTAAATTTGTCTTTCTCTGCTTGTCTCTATTTTTCCTTTCCACCCACTGAAGAGTTTCCAACATATGGTTTTAACTGTGAATTTGGCTGGGGTTCTCACAAGACATTCTGTCACTGGGAACACGACAATCACGTGCAGCTCAAGTGGAGTGTGTTGACCAGCAAAACCGGACCCATTCAGGATCACACAGGTAATGGAGAGTTCACTGCGGCCTCATTGCTTTAAATTAGAGAGGGTGTTATTGTGGAGGGTTTCTGGGGTCTGTGAGATTAGGGGTGTTAGAAAACACTCCCGAGCATTCACTTCGTGCTTTCATTTCCTGGAATTACCGAGATCTCCTTTCCTAGAAGAGGTGCTCCGATGCCTGGTAGCAGAGAAGGCCCGATTAAATCTGGCAACTGATTGCCTCTCGGAAAAATAGCAAACTGGGCAAAGATGTGTGAATAAGTACCTGTTTTATACTTTTCCTGACCGTTTTCATGGAAATTTCAAATACATTCAAAAGCAGAGAAGGCTTAGTGACATGAACCCTGTATGCATATAACCCAGGTTCAACAAGCACCGAGTCACAGGACTCTTACTTTATCTCTAGCACCCCTGCCTCTGGATTATTTTGAAGCAAATCGGGACATGGGTCATCTCATTTATTTTGCAGCTAAAGAAACAGTAAGTGAGCCTCCTGCTCCCTCTCTCTTGAGCCTTGAAGTTGAAATGGAACAAGGTGGGGTGGGATTCTTATTCATTTGAGGAAGACTGTAAATCTGGCCCATTTTTTTCTGAGCGGGTGGAAACCTCACCCCACCCTGCCCCACCTCCTGTCTTACTTTCCTGCTAGGATTAATTAGTGGCAGAGGGATGGGCTGGGGGTCACTGGGGGCTGACTGCCACTCCAGTGAACTCTTTATCCACTGCCATCCTGCTTTCCTCTTAGTCATTTTGTCATCCAGCTTGAGGTGCTGCATGAAGATCCAGCGGTTGTCCTTACAATGCCCACACATACACACGCTCCCACACACTCACCACGAACATTCAACCAACCGACATCTCCCCGACTCAGTGAAACTTAAGGGACTGTTTGCTCAAGAGGTGGCTTCCCAAATGATACACCAGAGAGCCATTTGCTGATGCTGAGAAATCTCATTAAACAAAATTCCCCCATGCTGGGGCTTTGGATGAGTGGGTCAGTGGGCCAATGCGTTGGCAGAGGGCACTTCATGCCTTTCCCATTTTGTCATTCACTTTTTTCCCCCCAGTGAACATAACCATTAAGTAGGTTGAATTGGCCTCCTTCCACCACAGCTACCTCTTTGCCTAATGAGAATGACAAGGAAATTGGATAAAATTGGACTCCTTCAATTCTGAGACACTTTCAATTGAATCTTAAGACAAGCAGTTTTAGAAAACTTAAAATACTTTGACTGTAAATGGCACTGTACATATAAATGGCATCAAATTAACCAAATGCAATTAGCTGAAATGAAGGCAGTAATGGTGGAAAAATTGATGCAAAGTGAAGCAAAATGGCTCAGTAGGATCTGACATTCAAAGGAGGTTAAAAGCTATGTTAGCCAGAGACAAAAGCTAAAAGGCTTGCCGAAGTAAAGTGCTAATTGAGAAAATGAAGACAGAGTTCCTGACCCAGAACTGTGATAAAACCCCTGAAAGGAAAAATATCAACGCTTTATGCTTTGGAGTATCAGAAAAGGGGGGCTTGTCTTAGAGTAACAGCTGAGAAGTGTGATTCCTTCAGAAGGATTTGTCTCTTTTGTTCTCCCAGACACCCAAATTTACTTGGCTGTGGTGCCAGGTCTGCTCTGACGGGAAAAAGCCTCCTACAGCCCTAGAAACACAAGCATTTGCTGAGAGAGGGGGAGTGAGCCCAACATCTGAAAGGCAGGAACTTGTTAACATTAAAAAAAAAAAAAGTAGATGAAAAGAGCAGCCCACATGCACACAGACGGACGTTAGACAATATTCTGCAATTTGCAAATCAGGAGATTTCTTTAAATTAACACAATCTAGGTAAAATATCCTGCTGTTCAATTTGGAATTTATTGGAAGGAATCCCACTTGGTTTTCTGCATTTGACTTCTAAGAGGGAAGCGATGTACCTCCTTACAGAGGATTCCCGAAACCCAGCGTCTTCCCTGGTTTGTCGAACAAGTGTTATTTGAGGAGCCCTATTACTTGGTAGATGCTGCACGAGGCACTGGAGATGTGAGAATAAAGGAGGGGGGCCCTGCCCTGAGGAGCTCACGGTGTGCTTGCACAAGGTGGGAAATGATTACCGCGCAGGGGGTGAGGGGGCCCCAGGCGGAGGTGAGCGGCGATGGGAGAGATAACATGGGGGCTCAGAGAAAGCAGTCCTGTCCCAGAGAGTCTGGGCTAGGATTGGCGTGCGCGGGTGCGGAGGAGAGCTTGCAGGTGGTGTGGGGGGACGGGCTTCTCTGTGAAGCCGTTAGCTACATGGCAGGGGTGTGTAGCCTCGGGTGCCTCATGAAGGAGTGTGGCTAGGCTAACGGTCTTGAGGAGCCACTGAGAAGCTTCGAGCAGAGCAGTGACATGATCATGTTTTTAAAAGCCCACAGAGGTGTCAGGGCAGAGGCCAGGAGAGATTTCCCAGGCAGCCTTCCTCCCTCTACCCAGGTCCAGTTTTCTCCTCCTTTCTCCCACCTGTTCTCTGATGAGCCAGAATAAACGTCATGGGCTCCATCTATGTGCCCCCCTCTCTGCAGCATCTCCAACCTCAGTATTTTTCCCTAAGAATGGGGGTATGGGGCACAGAGGCAAGACGGGTGCCTTTTTCACCTGTCCCTCTTGGGGGACTGAGACCCGACTCGCCTCAGTGAGATGGTGCTGTCACACAGTTAGGGAACCACCACTTGGTAAAGAGAAAGCAAACCCCAAGAGCGACTGGGTCTGCGTGGTCACAGGGGGCGCTTCGTAAAGACCGCGTCAAACATGCCGCCGGAGCTGTGAGTTTTATTTCCACCCTCCTTTTTTTATTCCACCCGTTGCTTCTCTTAAGAGGGTCTTGGTGCAATCTCGTTTAAGCAGCCAGGTGAGGGAAGCAAGTTGCCCGCTGACACACCCACTTCTACCTGGAAACTTGGACACAGGCGAAAAGATACAAGGTCGTGCCCACATGTGCACAGGGAAAAAGTATCTCACAAACACGCAAAGCCCTTGGGCAGCAAACAAAACATCCCGCTGCCCACTGAGGCCTGAGCATCAGATTCACACTTACATCAGGTGAGGCCTTAGAGTAGGTATTTCTATTTGCAGAGCAAACAGTGAAACATGAGTTGTGTATGTAGACCAGGTGGTGGCAGGAGGAAATGTTCCCACCGGGGGTAATTAAAAGCAAAGCCAAGAGTAAGTCCTTGCAGCTCGGCAAGTATCTGCGTTGCCAAAATGGCACGTTCTAATAAGCCTCAAAAATGCAACCTTGCCTCTCCTTGAACCAGAAGCCCACATCAAACAGGAGTGGGGCTTGCAGCTGAGATTCAAACTCTCAGGTGCATGTAAGGGATTTATAAGCCATTAAAATAAACTAGGGAAAGTCATCTGAATTTGTGGGAAAAAGATTACTAGATGATTTGGAAACACAGCAACTTTATTACTATCAAGCAGTTACAGTAACCAGAGTATCATCACCCAGCTCAAACGATAAGTAAGAAAACATCTAAATTATTCCATGTCATGTCTGTGTTTGTATCTGTGCTGCTGAAACTGTTTTAAAGTGGCCTGAAAATAGGTCTGCCCTCTGCTTTCAATGGGCTTCCAACGAGGCAAAGGCCAGTGGGAGTCGTCATCCATGGCCACGTGAAAATGCCTTCCAAATCCCGGGTGCCCGAATTAGTGCTGCTTCACAGCCCTCTCCCCATCAAACACCCCACTCACAGAGGCTTGGCGCACAGCCTTAGGTGCCAAAAAGGTTCCCCAAAAACCGCACACTCTTCCCTTTCCACCGCATATTTGGGTTCTTGGTGCTCAGCCTCGGAGAGAAGGTTCAAGTCGTGGAACTTCAAAGAAGAGATGGAGGAGTCGTGAATGTGGCCACTATCCCTAACCTGGTTTTTTGTCACAGCAGGTGATGGCAACTTCATCTATTCCCAGGCGGATGAAAACCAGAAGGGCAAAGTTGCTCGTCTGGTGAGCCCCGTGGTTTATTCCCAGAACTCTGCCCACTGCATGACCTTCTGGTATCACATGTCTGGTTCGCACGTGGGCACGCTGCGGGTCAAGCTGCACTACCAAAAGCCAGAGGAGTATGATCAGCTGGTCTGGATGGCCATCGGGCACCAAGGAGACCACTGGAAGGAAGGGCGGGTCCTGCTCCACAAGTCTCTGAAACTTTATCAGGTGTGATGTCCTCCCCGGGTGGGAGGACAGCTCCTTCAGGGAGATGGGAGATGGGGATGATATTTTGGAAATTATGTAAATGAGATGCGGGAATTATTCCAACAATTATTTCAGGTGTTTCCCAAACCTGGGATTTTGCCGCAACGATGATCCTCCCAGTAGCATATTTCAGTCTCTAAGATTACAGGAATAGAACCAATTTGCTGTGAAAGAAGGGAGAATACTACTTTATAATCTATTTCTGGGCTGTCACAATGAACATTTCCTTTTATTCGCTGCTCTCCTCAGTTTTAAATTTTGAATTATAGAAAGAGAGTGTTAGGAGAAGTTTTATGCCATCACCAGGCAGTTAATATAGATTGATGAGCAAAGCGCGTGCTTCGGTGAAATCTCATGAATTTAATTTACGTGCCATAGATTGAACTGAACAAGCATTTGTAAACACTGCTACTCGGGACTGAACATTTCAATACTGTGAAAATGATCTTATCTTGTTAGGTGATTTTTGAAGGCGAAATTGGAAAAGGAAATCTTGGTGGGATTGCAGTGGATGACATTAGTATTAACAACCACATTTCCCAAGAGGACTGTGCAAGTGAGTATGAACTGCTGTACAAGCCAGGACATGCTTGCCCAGGGCATGAAGATTTTCATGCAAGGGTCTTTGTCTTGCTCATTTAGACCTAGAATTTCAATGTGGGCTATAAGCACATCATATGAAACGCATATTTTGCTGCAACAGGGCATAAAACCAGGTCGGTTTACCTTTAGTTACCCCATTCCCTAACCTCGTTCATTTAGTGTCTGCTTGGTACCTGCAAAACCACATAAATAATGTGGAATCCAAAAATTATAGCTAAAAAGAAAGACTCACAAAAAAAAAAAAAAAGAAAGAGAAGACTCACAGCTCACAGGCTATATATACCATACCAAAACATTTTGATGAAAAGTGGAAAACTCAGACATCTGGATAATTCCAAATATCTGGGTGTATAAACAAAACAGCAGGTCTTTGAAAATTTTGAGCACAGTGAACTTAATTAAGATTACATTGTTCATGAATCATAGAAGCCATAATTCTTTGCTCTATTACAAATAAGTAGATGTTTCTGACTCTAAAAGTAGTTGAAATGACTCAAAAGAATAAGTGAAATTTTGAGACCTTGCCTAGTACTACAGAGTTTATGAGTTTGTATTGGCCTGGTATATGGATGAAAGTTGACATCGAAAACCAATGCGTATTCCCTGGTTCTTGATGTATAATTATAAATAGCATCACTAATGGCAATGTAATAGCACAGTAATTAGTCTTAAGCTCCATTTGCTACACTTCAACTTTTGCTATATATCATATAATAGGATGTTAATTATAACAAAATGGAATAAGCCTATTGGGCAAATTTAAGACAAAGGAGGTCTGTTGGCTGTAATAGGTTTTTGGTCATTTCAGCAATTTACAAAGCTTTTATTATACAATATATTGAACATATGTAATCCTAAAGTGGCAATAATTTGATATGGTTGATTAAAGAAAATGGGGGAAAAAGAACAGTGAATAAAGACCTGCTTTTTCGTACTACGTAAGGGGATCTACTTAATGCTACACATTTAGCCGATCTTCACAGAAAATGATAAGACTTAAGATGTCAGTTGAGATTACACTCCAGATTGCCCACACCCAGGTCTACACTGTTGTGAAAATATGTATTTCATGTAGTTACACAGTGTATGCAATGCGCTGCTTTCCTAGTCCAAAATGAAAATGAGGTTTTTTAGAATGTGCGAGCAAACTCCATAAACGAAAACAAAGAAAAAAAATTTAATTCCAATTCAACAAGTTTTAGCGGACTGCGTACTGTAGGCAAGGCAGCATCCAAGTGCTCCAGGGAATATAGAGAGGGATAAGACAACTTGATGAGCCTTTTTCTTCTCATGGGACTGGTCCACATGGCTGTAGTTGTTGCTGGGCATTATACTCAGAAAGTCACAACTAAAGCACCATCAAAATACTCTATGTTGCTGTCCCGATAAAAAGATGCCTCAGATAATTGTATAATGAGTCACCAAATATGTATCCTTGAATATTTAGCTATGGATGCTATGAAACTTTCAACTATTTATTAGTTATCCACACATTTATGCAACAAATATTTTTAAGGCACCTTTTCTGTTCTGGACACTATTACAAATGTTGGGAATATAGCAGTGAATAAAGTACTCAAAACTCCCTGCCCTCTCCTCAAAACCACATGGGCTACTGGGACTCTACTCCCAGAGATTTCATTTATTTTACTTTATTATTTTAATTATTATTTTAGAATTATTATTATTATTTGGGGAGGGGAGGTAAGACCTAGAACACAGTCTCTTGCCTCAAAGAGCTTATAATACTATTTGGGAAAACAAACTAGCCCTCACCAAATTTAGGAAGAAGTTCTCTACAGAAGCACAAGATGGTAGCCCCACGCACAACCCCATTACTGTTTCTTGTTTCCATCAGCTTTCCCCCACACTCCAGATGCCAGAACTATTTCGCTCCACTCTTTTCTTCTGAAACAACACGCTCTGCTAACAGCAGTGCTTGCTGGATTTTGATGAGACATCAGTTTCCTAGTCCTTTGACACCGCCTCTCCATTGTTCTGCAGTTATGTGGTGGGGCTGGATTGCACTACAAACTACCAAGGAAATCCAGCAGAACCATTAGTCTGAGTGTGTGTGTGTGTGTGTGTGTGTGTATGTGTGTGTGTGTGTAAGGGTTTATGTAGTTTGTGTGTATTGGATTTTGTTGGCAGTTCAAATATCCCTTTCAATTTTGTTTGACTTGGCAGAACCGGCTGACCTGGATAAAAGGAACCCAGAAAATAAAATCGATGAAACAGGTAAGTTTATCTTGCTGACCAATTAAAAATTTACTATGGCTTTCATTATATTTATGAAGCAACTTTCTGGAGCTCTAGTGCACTGGTAGATCAAAGCGGTTCAAATAAAATAAAAATCTCTGCCCGTGGTGCTGTGCATTGGACTCTTGTCACAGAGGGCTCTCTTCTAAGCCGCCTGGAGATCTAGGGGAGCACCGGGGCCCCAGGGGAGCGTGCTCGCGCTGTTCCTGTCCTGTCTGAGCTGAAGGAGGACCTAGGGGATGACCACATGAAACACTCTCCCTTTACATCTATGGAAATAGGAAACCAGTGAAGCCCATGACCTACCCAAAGACCGACACTGATTTTCATACGGTAATTTGAAACCATCCTAAATTCTTGTCTGGTTGATATCCTGATATGATCTTTGAGGACCAGAGTCCAATTTTTGTGATAAGCTGTTGTGTTTGATCCATTTGTGGCCCTCCTTCTCTCCATGGGAACCCTAACTTCATGATAATGAAGACAGTGATGATGATGATGATGATGATGGTAAGGATTTATTGAGGAGCTAGTATGCCCCAAGCACTTTACAGGTGTTATCTTGTACGCTGTCTGAGGCATATTGATCCCATTTTGCAGATGAGGAGGCTGAAACCAGGAATTGCCTTCAGTAGCCCAGTTAATTGGGTGGTAGCCTCAGACTTTACACCGATTAATCTGAAAATGTGTGTTTTCCTTGACTACTTTGTGATCAAATACAGGACATTTGACCAGAGTTGGGCCCTGCCTGATGTTATTTTATTTCTAGAAGCTTCCACCCCTCCCAGCCAGCACCTGTGGGTTGTTGGAGACTTGCCCCAGCATCACTCACAGCTGCTGCCAGCAATTCGGTGTCCTGCCCGTCAGCATCAGCACCTGTGGCTGGTAGAAATGTGGACCCACCGTAGTCAGTCTTGGACTTGATAGAGACAAATAAGTACGGCACTGTACTAAGCTGTTAATAACATTAACATGCGGCTCATTGAGCTTAGTTACACAGCCCATGCTGAGATGTAAACTTTATTAGAGGTTGTTTCAAAACAATGTTTCAAGGGAGAGAATATTAATATGCCCCAAGGCTTGTTTTCCCCTGTTTAGGGACTTGCATCTCATATTTTTAGTTTTCTTTGATTGGAATCTTTGTTGATCAGAACACCATTAAGTAAACACTATGCATGTTGTGCATTAACATTTTAGTCTTGTTTCTAGTACCACGTAATTAGGCTCAAAGCTCCCATGTTAATAATTTCTCATGTTCCACTCTAAAGAAAACATTTCCCCAGTGACTGAACTGCAGAGCAGAGTGACCGTCTCCCGTGAAACCACCAAGGCTGCAAAGATGCTGATTATTAAATGTGTTCTGTTCAGCACAACACAAGACACGCTCTCTAGCTTGGAGCCATAACCCATTTTAAATGTCAGCCGCAAGCATCCGCTTTGTTCTGAAAGATCTGTCCTTCTTGAGTGAAACCATGCTGGACTAGGGGGGGTTGGAATCTGTTTGACTGGAAGATTTTACATGTGGGGGAGCAAACACGTGTATAACCCGTGCCCGGACACACTGGAGACGGCACGGCACGAGGGGCAGCTTGGAAGGTCTCCTTGGGCCTGGTTTGCGGAGCAGGCAAATGCACAGGGCAGGGTGAAATCCCCCCGCTAGCCAAATGTGTGATTAAGCATCTTGCAAAGCTTTAATGACCTGGCTGGTCTCTAGCCAGGGACTATAAACACAGATTATAATCTAGTGCAGGTGGTGGGCTGCGCGGAATCTGAATTAGATTAGAACCCAGCCCTCCGTGTTTGTCCAGAATCCATGGTTTCCGTGTGCTGAGCTATGTATTAGAATCACAGCGCCTGCCACGCCTCAGTTCTCAACGAGTCAAACACAAATGTTGGTGTTTTCCGGCGATGCCGAGCCAGACCCCACTTAGAAATCCCCCGCAGGCTCTCGAGAGAGGACAGGCCAATGTGGAGCATGTGATTTGCTTTTTGTCTCCTTTTTCTCTGGTCTTCTGTCTGCTTCCGTCTGGTTATGTTGGCGGTGCTCACGGGGCCCATTTTGCTTCTCCCCTAGGGAGCACCCCCGGCTATGAAGGCCCACAAGAGGGTGATGAGAACATCTCCAGGAAGCCGGGCAACGTGCTGAAGACCTTGGATCCCATCCTCATCACCATCATAGCCATGAGCGCGCTGGGTGTCCTCCTGGGCGCCGTGTGCGGAGTAGTGCTCTACTGTGCCTGTTGGCACAACGGGCTCTCAGAGAGAAACTTGTCTGCCCTGGAGAACTATAACTTCGAACTCGTGGATGGCGTGAAGTTGAAAAAAGACAAACTGAACCCACAGAGTACTTATTCGGAGGCCTGAAGACAGACGGAGGCAAAGACGAGTCGGAGAACTGACGTGGAAGGAGGGAACTTGAGCGTGCTGGGGAACTGTTGATCTCTCTCACTGTCCAGGCTGGGAAGTACGTTGATGACGCTGAGCCAGGCTTTTCTCAGGAGCTTCGAGGAGTATGGCCGACAGACAGGAACAAGTTCGCCGTGTTCACAATCGGAATCATGTACAGTCAGCTTTTTTCTGTTGGTTTCATTTGAATAATCAAATGCTGGTGTTGAGACCAAGTATGAATGACTTAATAATTCATTTCGACTCTCCCTCCCCTTCTCTCTCCTCTTCCTTTGATGGATTCCTTTCGGAAACTGTGCAAAATCCAAGATGCTGGCACCAAGTGTATTCAGTGGGGCCCTTTTGACGGACACGCTACCTGCAGCCCAGTGCCCAGAATCTCATAGAAAAACCGCCCTTCAGTGGACTCCTGAAGCCGTAGTTGTGTATAATTGCCCACGTCGTACGGAGGCAGAGAAGGATTAGGATGTTTCACGTGGACGTGCTGTATCGCCTCAGTACCGCTATCGTGTGTCAGCTCTGTTTACAAAGCAATACCGTCAAATTTTCTTGATGTTTTCCAGTGTTGTACTAAACCTCGTGCTTGTGAACTCCATACAGGAAACCGTGCCATCACCGAACACTGCTGGCCACCGCAACAACAACTCCTTGGCACTGGCTAGTCTATGTCCTCTCAAGTGCCTTTTTGTTTGTACTGGTTCTCATTGTGTTACATGAACGACCCGCTCTGTTTCTCGCTGGTGAAAGCCCTACTCTTTAATCAAACCCTGGTGGCCCACTGACTAAGAAGAAAGTATAATTTAGTGTGAGATGTCAGCCCCCCGCCCCCGGGAGGGCAAGGGCTCCGAAGATTTGGCAATGTGGCTTAATTGCTCTGCTTTTTTCTGTGGTTCAATTTCATGTCTCTTGACCCTTTTGTATAAAGCTGCAATATTCTCTCTTATTGGTCTTTCATATGGAATGTATTTTCAAATGTAAACTCTTTCTCTCCTCTCTCTCTCTCTCTCTCTCTGTCTGTCTTTTTTCTCTCTTAGAACTTAAGCATTTGCCATTGTCCAGAAAAGAAACTTGCAGCTTTAACCTGCTGGTAATGGCAAACAATTTTGCTAGACTTTATGTTTAAAAATAAATAAATAAGGGAAATTCCTAACTTTGCCCTCCAAAGTCTAACTTTGGTTTTCTTGTTAACTGGTTAAAGTGACAGTATCTTTTTTCCTTAAGCCATTTGTCTGTCTGCTCCAATCAAAATGATCTGTGATAGAAGCATTTGCATTTAATAGAAAGAGATAAGCTGAGGGAAGAAGTAATACTAATTGGCTTTCAAGTGAGACCCAAAGGAAAGACTGAATACAATTCTCCAAATACCCAAAAATATGAGATTTTTACATCCAAATCTACAAAATGGCCCTTGAGAACCTGCTTGTTTTGCTATTGAATCAGACAAGGGAAGTAGAAGAAAGAACAGTTAATTTAAGAAAGTGACTATAAATCCTGGTGCCTGGGGTGAAGTATTTTAAGATAAGACGGGGAAAGAAAACGAGTAGAGTCAAAACAAATCTTTAAAAACATCCATTCAGGAGCAACCCTGAAAAAACAGAGACTTGAATGAATGCATCTAGAAACTTCCAGTGGCTCACAAAGAAAAAGCCTGCCATGGGGCTGGTTAAGACCGAAGCCTCGAACAACAGCACAGAGAAGTCAATATCTTATCAGGCAGCATGTGAATTAATCCAAAGAAGGCTGTGGTTGTTTTCAGAATGTTCCTGTCAGGCCATGGTGTACAGAAGAACTTTTAGATTTTCCTCCCTTTCTACATTGCTGTGGGGTCCTGTTCAGATACATCTGTGGGAGTCACATTTGCATCATGGATGGGTCAGTCCATTCATCTTGGTTTAATTGGATTAAGGATGCCTTTTGTTTCCAGGAAAGTATTGATCACCATGAAAAAAGAATAGATTTTTATCCCCAGAGGCATTCATTCAGTTGTTAGGATCTTACGGGGATGAAAGCACTAAGTAAGACCTGATTTTTTTTTTTTTTTTTAAGGCAACAGACTTAAAGTTGTCCTTAGCCAAGGAAAAATGATACTGCGACTTTAAATTTTAAAGTATCTTGCACTGATAAATATATTTAAAAATTATATGTTTATAAAGTTATTAATTTGTAAAGGCAGTGTTACAAAATGTTCAGTTTATATTGTTTTAGATTGTTTCGTAATTTTTAAAGGTGTAAAATAACATATTTTTTCTTTATTGAAATCTATAAGACTTTCTGTAGTAAAATGTTTTCATTTTACTGGTATATGATTGCTTCATGTTTTGTACCATCATCAAATTTTGTGCAAATTTTTTTTACAGAAATTTTTATTTTCTATGACAATATGACACTTGTAAATTGTTGTTTCAAAATGAACAGCGAAGCCTTAACTTTAAATGACATTTGTATTCTCAGACACTGAGTAGCATAAAAACCATATAGAACCGAACTGTAACTTCAATCCCAAACTATGACTACTACATTCCAAAGAGACAGTTGAATTAAACATTTTCATAAAATACCCACACCTGATGGCTTTTGTTCTATTAGCTTTGTTATTGTTAAAGAAGTTGGTATTATTCCAGCGTTGGATAACTTTCAAGATTTTTTAAAGTTCTTTTTGAAAAAGTATATCCTAGTAAGGAGAGAAGATTAAGAAGACATATCCTGAAAGTAGACAATCAACCCAAATCGGACCCTGTCAGGATAAGGAATAGAGAACTTAGCCTTATACGTGCAAAGTTTCCAACCCCAAATCTTGTGTCACATGTTCTATCGCTATTCCACTTTTTTAAAGGAAATTCACAAATACCTGTTGGTGAGTTTTGTTCTTGCAGAAAACAAATAATAAACTGATAGCGTTTATGTGTGCCGATGCTAAATGTAGGCGTTAAGGCAAAGGTGAGCATGGCATTGTAACCGGCTATTTGGTAGTTCTTGGGAAAATTCCAGTTCCATCTGGGACCAAAATAATAGTAATAGTAATAGTAATAATAACAACAACAGCAGCAGCAACAACAAAGCAATGGATGTGTTAAGCCAAAGCATGCTGAGTAAGGCCTTTTATAAAACTTGCTCCAACAAAATTGGCCTAGGCTAAACTCTACTCTCCACAGACCAATAATTCTTCCGTTACCATTGTAGGAAAATTTGAAAGCATAGGAACTTCTTGAAAAGTAAGCTGCTCTGCACAGCTCTTTGCAGTGATTCAATATTCCTGCTTCTCTCTGGACATTTTTGCCTTTTGCATCTTCCCAGATTTATCCAAGAATAGGATATTTACCCTATTGAGGGGATTTTCAGAACTCTCTGCTTAGAGAGAAGAGTCAGAGAGAGACAGAGCTGGGTAATCACTTCACTGAAGTTAAATTCTACCTACCTTCCAGGATGTTCCCAGAAAGCATGATGACTTGCAAGGAGTCTACCAGGATTAATCTAGAGATGCTTTCTGAAAATTGCCAAGGGTCCTCGAGTAACACGATCTCCATTTCACTGTTTGAAAAGGCCTTAAACATACGTGCTTTTCACCCGTCCGTCACCCCTGGTTAGCTGCTAGGCTAGGTTCTTCTTACTGGGTTAAATGAGCTACATCATTGTGTAATACTTCCCAAAGTCAGGCATTAAATGTGTCACGAGGGTTGAAACACTTAAAGCATGAAAATTATTTATTGTTCCATCTCCTGTCTTCCCTAATAACTTATTAATTGCCACTCGGGCTGAATTGCACTGGGTCTTTCTGCAAATCAAATGGATTTTGTAACATTCCATAATGTGTCTGCTTCCCAATGGTAATTATAGCTGTTGTGTAGCATTAAAAAGCAGTTCTGCTAAGAATTAGCTCTAGTTCCCTAAACTATATCCACTAAGGGATCTTTACCAGCTTTTCAACTTGACAGTGGAGAAAGGGAGTGAAGGGAGCCTCAAAGTAAGTACAACCAAGCACCAAAAGCAGGCAAGATCAGACTAATAACCTTTTTAAAAAAACTATTCCAAAGAAGCAAAGCAAGATGATGCAAATGGGTGCATCTTACTATCACACGCATGTAACGTGTTAGCAATGCAGGTCCAGTGGACCGATCCTAACATTTTAGGAGGAAAGGAGTAAACTCCACTTCACGAGAATCTTCTACGGCCATGTCATTGTACTTTTTATTGAGAGCATTCGCTATTCTCACAGCAGCTCTGTGAGGAATCCAAAGTTGAGGGAGGTTGAGTGATGAGTTCAGTATGTATCCGATCTCATCTTCCCTTCCATTGCTTCTACCACCTCCCAGCGCTGCATTAGCTTGCAAGGTGCTCACACAGGGCCTTGCTACTCAAAGCGGGGCCCAAGAATCAGCATCAGTGGTGGCATCATCCAGACACCTGTCAGAACTACAGAATCTCGGGCCGTACCCCAGACACACCAAGTCATTTTAACAATACCCCCAGATGACCCCTACTCCCCTCCATTCGGGTTTGAGAAGGTGCAACATGGTCTGCAGTTACCCTAAGCCGGGACTGAGAGTGTGCCTTGCTTCCAACGGTGATTTTGAGACCCTCAAAGATGGGGAAAATATCCCTGTGAGTTTCATGGAACACTTTTCAGAAGAGTCTGAGCATTGATGCAGCCTGGAAAACAGACAGTAAAATTAGTAAACCCGAAATCCCACTCCGAGCACGTTGTGGCCATCGGCCTGATGGCTCGCAGGGATCTACACATGGGCTTTTCTGAGGGTGAAGAAATAGTGCTGATCAAGTATTTTGCTGGGCAAATATTTGAAAGTGCTACCGGGCACAGCAAATACTCTGTGACTCATCGGAGTGTGGTCAGGGAGGAAAAGGAAGACCAGTTTGTGAAGAGCCAAAGCCTCCTCTCCAAAAGAAATTGCCTTATTTATTGGACACACACAGTTTACTACTTTACAAAGATGTTAAAGTCCTGAATGGTCAAACTAGACTGAATCCTATTTAATCTTTCTCTCTTTTTTTTTTAAAGATTTTATTTATTTGACGAGAGAGAGCACAAGCAGGGGTAGCAGCAGGCAGAGGGAGAAGCAGGCTTCCCGCCGAGCAGGGAGTCCGATGCGGGGCTCGATCCCAGGGCCCTGGGATCATGACCTGAGCCGAAGGCAGACGCTTAACGACTGAGCCACCCAGGCGTCCTGCTATTTAATCTTTCTTTGGTGATTTCTAATCTTGTTCCTTAAGGTCCTTGTTACAGGTCATAGAGCTTCGTTGTCAAACAGTGACTCCTGAAGAAGCTTTCCTCTACAGAAAGATTGTCTCTCATCTGTACAGCTGAATGAAATGGTGCCTGTTATGATATAGGAGTTCAAGAAATGCGTGCCATTTATAGCCGGTACCTGCGTGTGTCCCTGCCCTGTTCAGAGTTGGGAAGTTGCTTGCTGCTGCAGAGTGTTGCATGGGACTGAACCTGCTGTCCCGTGAGGAGAGTTGAGTCTCGCCCTGGTGCTGCGTGAATGAGACGACTTGCCCCGATGGAAAGCAGGCCCTGGTGCCCTGGGATGCTCCTTTCACTGGTTTGGACCTCTCCCCCGACCCGCCACGTCAGACACCTCTAATGCCACACCCTTCTTCAAGACCCCATCATCACCTTGCAGAGATGCGGTGCTCGCACTGCCAGTGACCTTGATGTAATCCTGTCGGGAAACGGCGCCACTGTTAATTAGGGCTATCATTTCCCTAAGCTTGTCCAGCTTCTGAAAAATCATCAATGTTGATTAAATTGCTTCTTGGCTTCGAATATGTGATATCGTTAAAGCAGATTCATCCATTATCCTCAGGTCTTTCTTGTAATTCTTCTGTGATTCAAGCCCTCCACCTAAAAGGATCTTATTGTTGGAGTCAAACATAATTTTTGTTGGGTCAACTTGTAATCCTCTATGTCACCTAAATTGCCATTAACTGTAAGAAGAAATACTCTTTCTGGTATCCAAATAACAAATCAGTCCTTTGATTTAGTTTCACCTATTCATTAGGAAGTTTGGGTAGGTGGAGGGGTCCAGGAAGTAACACCAGTTCTGTCTTTTCCCTGGTCTCTAGCATGCAGAGTATGACATCAGACGTGTTTGTTTTAACTAATGAGCGAGCACATGGCCACATCTACTTGGCATAAATTTCTCAACCCCTTATCATCATAACCATTATAGGTTCCTGAATGTTCACTGTGTACCAAACTTTACTAGATGTCTCGATTAACCCTCAAAACAACATTATTATGATTGAAGGCTACACAATTGAAGTCCAGAAATGCTGAGAAATATAATTAATGTCACACAACTAGTTGGTAAGTGACATTTCCAAGATTCAAACCCAGCTCTATCATTCTAAATGCTCCTTGAAACCGCCTCCTCAGCTGAAGAAAAGGTCTTCTTGTTACCAATGTCAATTGTAGGAATGTTCTGGAATGTAGAGAACTGTGATCTTACTTTACTATCGGGCCAAGTGTTAGCTTAGGCGAGGCTATGCAGTGGTAAGAAATCAACTCCCAAGCATTACTGGCTCAACACATAAAGGTATATGTTTTTTTTACACAAAGGCTACTGTGAATCAGGTGACTCTGCGGGACATTTGTATTCCAAGCAGTGACTCAAGGATCTAGGCTGTTTGCCTCTTTCTGCAATACCAACCAGAACATGTAGCTTCTAGTCTCCATGCAAGAGAGGACTAGAAATTTGTTCACTGTCTCTTGCATGCTACAGGCTGGAATTGACACATGGCCCTAATTTTAAGGGCTCTGACAAAAGTGGGGGAGCACATGCAGACTCAAGAATAGGAGGGGTCTCTGCCACAACTTGCAAGGGCAAAGCCACCCTCCTACTGTAGGAGGGAGCAGAGATTAGTCACTACGCCTGCCTCCTAGGGAATTGAGGTCTCTCAGACTGGAAACCTCAGGGAGAGAAATAACCAAGGCTGAGCAGTCACATGAGATGAGATGTCTCCTATCGAAGATGAGACCCCTGAACGTTGGAGTAGGAGGGAGCATCCTCCATGTGGAGGTGGGTCAGGAGACTGGAAGTATGGAATCATGTCAAACCGATGGGACCAGAGAATAGGGACCGTAGGAGGCAGTATGTGAGAGCTCTCTGTGAGTTTGGGGAGCCAACTTTTATATTTTTCATGCCTTCTGTGTGTTTCTATTTGACTTTCCTGTAATATTTAGTTATTTAGTCATTTTAGTACTATTTAGTAATTGTTAAAGTCCCTATACATCTCAGCTATCCAAATAGGAGACAGGGAAATGTTTTTGTCCATATGCAGCCAAAACATAAGAAAAGAAGGCAAACGATACCCAGAGTTCTACCTATCCTTCTCCATTGTAGTTTTCTTCTCCACTCCCTATTATATTTCTTTCTATAGAATGTGTCACCTTTTAGCATAGTGTATACTTTATTTATGTATATTATTATCCATCCACACTAAGAATGCAAATTCCATGAGGGCAGTGATAAATATTTGTTGAATAAAGGAGCCATGGTGAACAGCTGATGTAAGAGAATTTTGATAGAAATGAGACATGAAGAG